GTGCTTTGTAACCCCTTTCTCCCTTTTTGTTTTTCAGGTATGAGGGCCTTTCTTGAGAATTTCTTGGTTGGGGGGGGGGGCACTCTTGTGGCTATGAACTCCCCTAGCTTTTGTTTATCTGGGAAAGTTTTTATTTCTTCATCATATCTGAAGGATATTTCCGCTGGATAGAATATTCTTGGCTGAAAGTTTTTGTCCTTCAAAGATTTAAATATGTCATTCCAGTCTCTCCTAGCCTGTAAGATTTCTGCAGAAAAATCCACTGAAAGCCTGATAGGGGTTCCTTTGTAGGTTATTTTCTTCTGCCTTGCTGCTCTTAGTTTAGTTTAGTTTTGTTTTATTTTTGTCATTCACTTTTGTCAGTTTTGCTACTCTGTACCTTGCAGTAGGTCTTTTTATATTGACATATTTAGGAGATATGATAGCCTCTTCCACGTGGATTTCCATCTTCTTCCCCAGGTTTGGGAAGTTCTCTGCTATTGTTTCTTTGAACAAGCTTTCTGCTCCATTCTTCTTCTCTTCCCCTTCTTGAATACCTATAATTCTTATTTTGCGTTTCCTCATTGAGTCGGATATTTCTCAGAGCCTTTCTTGCTTTCTTTTTAGCCTTGGTTCTCTCTCCTCCTCTGTCTGGAGCATTTCAGCATGTCTGTCCTCAATTGTGCTGATTCGCTCCTCTGTGATGTCTTCTCGAGCATTCAGGGAATTCATGTTTTCATCTCCAATCTTTGTCATTGATTCTTCTTTATAGTTTCAATCTTTTTTGTGAAGTAGTTCCTGAACTCGTTGAATTGTTTCTCTGTATTCTCTTTTACCTCAAGTTTTTTGATGATAGCTGTTTTGAATTCTCCGTCATTTAGATTACATATTTCTGTGTCTTCAGGACTGATTTCTGGGTACTTGTCATTTTCTCTCTGGCCTGAAGATTTAATATAATGTTTGATATTGCTGGAGGGCATGGCTCTGTTTTTGTGCATCATGGTGTTGTTTGGTCATAGTTACCACTTATTGCCACTGGGGGCAGTCAAGAGCCACATATTCTGAGCCCTCTGTGTTCCGCCTGGATCCCAAGCGCTGGAGCCGGTGCTGGCGGTGGCGGGGGAGGCACTTTCTCCTACAAGCTCTCGTGGGCTTACTCACTGTGCTCTGCTCTCACTATCTGCTGTCACGGGGTGTTGGCTTGATGAGGTCAGCCCCCACCATAGCTTTCACCCCAGTAAGGGGCTTCCCTTTAGGCTGCAAGGGCCCTTGGGGATCTCTGACGTTCTTGCAAACGAACGTCCCTCCTCCTTTCCTTCCCTCTCGGAGGCTGTGCGCAGCAGTCCTGGATCGCAGTCCTTTGGGGAGGGCACGCAGTTTTCTCTCACCTCGTTCCACCTCCTCCAAGGGGGGCTCCAGTCTCTCCACCCTCTGACTTGTGGCTAGGGGGTCTCTGAGACGTCTTTTGTGTTGCGTGGATGTCCCCTATTGGAGTACAGATGTCTTTTTCGCTGTACGGAGGAGGGGAGAGATTACTGGGAGAGCTCACTCCGCCATGATGCTGACGTCACTCTCCCACTTCCGTCTTTTTTCCTAGCTATTTAGTTTTGAAGGAACAAGGTTGTTTGTGTACATAGAATATCCCACAGCATGGATTTCATTGAGCATATCCCTGTAATATCCTTTAATATGTTCTTTGTCCCTTGTATTCGTATAAACTAGTAGTTAGTTCTGGAAGCAATCAGATTCTAGATCCCATCTTTTATTAGGGGCTACAAAATGATCATGTTCTGATTTTCTTTATTTATTAACTTGAATATTTCTATAAAAAGAAACTTCCCTTCATCAACTGTTTGGTTACTCTGTGGTTCATTTCCTATGTGAAAGGTGGATTAAATGCTTGATTCTTTTCATTTGTTTATCGTTTTTCAAGATAATGAGTTGACTTTTTAGAATCTTCCAAAGATGACCAATGAATTGTTTATTTTTTTAAATTAACTCCACTAAATTACTCTACTAAAAACAGTTGTTTATTTTTTTAAACCTCACTGTGAACTCATGAATTTAAGTGTATTTGACATGTTTCAGTCCATCGCCCTCATTATTACTTTGATGTCCACCAGCCCATCATTAGCCTCTTAGGATAGCACAGCCGAGTCTTTTTGATCCGTCCCTGGTGGTCTTTAATAGCTTTCTTGGTTTCTTGCAGGATAAAATGTTCTAGCGTCATCATGCATATTTCTTGTCCTGGATCTGGAATCATTAATTTCTCAAAAGAGTCCTGCTTCATTTTAGTGAGAAATGGTGTTTAGAAAACACAATCTGAATGTCAGAGTGTTCTCTACTACTGAGTAAATCCCTGTTTCTAGACCTTTTCAATGGACAAAGCTAGGAAATGTCTTTTAGGTCTCTTTTTTGGTTTTGTTTTCTTTGTTTTAAAGATAAAACACTTCATGAATTCAAATTGGTATTTCCAACTCAAATTTAGAATTATAAAACTCTAATTTCCTAATTTTATTTAACTTCCTTGATTTTATATTTATATCTCTTAAGCTGAAAATTTTGATTCCTAATGGCATTAACATAATTATTTGCTTTATCCTAAGATATATATAATAGTCTCAAAATAGCAGTAATAATATGGTAACTCTGCTAAAAATAGTTAAAGATTTTCTTTGTAGTTCTTTTTATCCTGTAGATCTTTTCTACTAGGGATGTGCCATCAAGTCGCTGTGTTTTTTAAAAAGTCATGTGGAACGTTTTTCCTCTATGTGGGTGTGCTACCAACTGATTAGCCGGTTCATTTACGTCATGTTGCTTTCCATTTCAGAGATTGCAGCTCTTTTTGGTTGGGAAGATTGTCCCTGAGCTAACACCTGTGCCAGTCTTCCTCTGTTTTGTATGTGGGACACCACAGCAGGGCTTGATGAGTGGTGTGTAGGTCCATGCCTGGGATCCAAGCCTGTGAACCCTGGGCTGCTGAAGCAGAGCGTGCAGACTTAACCACTACGCCATGGGGCCAACCCCAGAGATTGCTTTTTAAACTTAATTTTGTTTTATCCTTGTATAAAGAAGTTATATAGTTCTAAAGTCAGATATACAAAACAAGGTCTATTCATAGAAATCTAGCTTCTATTCCTGTTGCCTCCACCTGGCTGCCTTGGTTTTAAACCCACAGGCCACTTAATTCTTTATTTTGGTTTATCCTTCTCTTTGCTCCTTTAAAATATAGTCGAATGTATAATCTATTTATATCTCCCTTTTAGAGAACTGATACTTATCTATGGTGCCCTCTTTCTATACTTACTTATATATGTACTATACACTTTTTTCCACCTTGCTTTTTTCACTTAACAACATAACTTGGAGATTATTCCCTAGTGGTAAGTATATAGAGATAGTCTTTCTTTCTTTTTTTACTCCTTTCTTTTTACAATGCATGGTATGTCATTGCGTGGATGTATTAGAGAATTTTTTTTTGAGGAAGATTAGCCCTGAGCTAACATCTGCTGCCAATCCTTCTCTTTTTGCTGAGGAAGATTGGCCCTGAACTAACATCTGTGCCCATCTTCCTCTGCTTTCTGTGTGGGGTGCCTGCCCTGGCACGGTGTGCCAAGCGGTGCATAGGTCCATGCCTGGGATCTGAACTGGCGAACCTGGGCTGCTGAAGCGGAACATGGGAACTTAACTGCTGCACCACTCAGCCAGCCCCTAGAGAACTTTTTGATGGAAACACTGAATTGTATAGTCTATCTAACAGATATTTGTTTGTTGTAATTTTGATAGGAGAATAACACTGTCAGGTGAAGAGAACAAATAATCTACTAGTGCGAGCCAGATTCATGAATAAGCTCCTCTGTGGGTCACAGGAGTTGCAAGATATGGAATGGAAGTATGGCTGGGGAAACGAGGAAGAGTTTTGCAAAGCAATTAGGGCTTGGTTGAGCAGGACATTCAAGATAAAGAGGATTTAAACAGATGGGGAAGAGGACGTTCCAGGCTTGGGGAAGTGGTATGAGTAGAAGTCCAGACTCTAGAAGTGAGTGAGAAATCCATGGAATTGTCAATAAACCAGTGGGTTTTGAGCAAAAACATTATTTAAGAGCAGGTTGGAAAATGAATCAGTTCACTTGTTGAGGGCTCTGACTGCCAGACTAGAGAGTTTACTGTTTCTAAAGCACAGCTTTCAACCCTTGATCTGTCTATTTGGAAACCTTTAGTGGTTTCTCAGTGACAGGATTTTGGAGACGGATAGGACATCTGAACTGTGCTGTCAGACTACTTCTTCAAGAAAAAATCTCGGGTGACTTAAAGGTGTGGGGACAAGGGCTTAACTGAGGTACTGGCAGTGGCAAATGTAAGGATTTGGAGGTAGAATTGGTAGGACGGGGGCCGGCCCTGTGGCCAAGTGGTTAAGTTCGCGCGCTCCGCTGCGGCGGCCGAGGGTTTCACCAGTTTGGATCCTGGGCACGGACATGGCACCACTGGTCAGGCTATGCTGAAGTGGCGTCCCACATGCCACAACTAGAAGGACCTACAACTAGAATATACAACTATGTACCAGGGGCTTTGGAGGGGAGAAGAAGAAGAAGAAAAAAAGACAGGCAACAGATCAGCAGATGTTAGCTTAGGTACCAGTCTTTGAAAAAAAAAGAATTGGTAGGACGTCTTCCCTCCCTTTCAGTTAGTTTCTATGGTGGGGGAGTAGGAGGGAAGGGAGAAAGGAATATCAACGATAACTAATTTCCAGTGTGGGTTCAGGAGTAAAGTGGTGGGTCGGGCCCCAGCCCTCTTTTCTGTAGTCTGACAATGACGCATTTTCCCTTTATGTGCTTTGGGAGAAAAGAGAAGTCAAAATGTGGTGGTTTATTCTTTAGCATTTGTGTGGCTGGTCTGCCATCTAGTGTTGTGCCTGGTTCTGAAAGCTTCTTGGAGGTCAGGAAATGGAGTCTGGGTTCAGAATGTAAATAAACTCTGCTTTAGCCAGTTCTTCACTGTTTTTTTTCCCCTTCTTACCTCAGGGTATTGCAGGCACAGATGTGGCAAAGGAGGCATCAGACATCATCCTAACAGATGACAACTTCACCAGCATCGTGAAGGCAGTGATGTGGGGACGAAACGTCTATGACAGCATCTCGAAGTTCCTGCAGTTCCAGCTCACTGTCAATGTGGTGGCCGTGATCGTGGCCTTCACTGGAGCCTGCATCACTCAGGTGAAGGGCGTGTGGGGTGGGCTGAGATGGGAGGGATGAGGTCGGGCTAAGGAACATGGGGAGTGGGACGCAGTGTGTCTACCGAGGAGTAAGGACGGGAGCTCCCCGGGGTGCTGGGGCAGGGTTAGCTCTGCTGGGTCTCCATCTGCTCATGTGGAAGGATGGTAATTTGTATTCCCTTAATTTAGCACTTATGTGTCAGCCACTATGATGAGCACTTAGATGTGTTATCTCCGTTCTTCAGAAACAACTTTGCAAAGTAGGTATTATCCTCATTTTACAGGTGAGGGACCCAAGGCTCAAAGAGGTTAAGTAATGTTCTCAAGGTCATTCAGCTAATAAATGGCCAGATTCAAAGTCTAGGTGGATAGTGGGAGCTAGGCCATCTCAAGGGCAAAGGTGAGGCTGATGAGTCAGATGGGAGTGGTCTCCAAGGAAAGCTGAAAGGCCTGGTTCTTCTCCCCCCAGGATTCCCCACTGAAAGCTGTACAGATGCTGTGGGTTAATCTCATCATGGACACTTTTGCCTCACTGGCCCTGGCCACCGAGCCCCCTACAGATGCTCTGTTGAGGCGTCGCCCGTATGGCCGAAATAAGCCTCTGATCTCCCGGACTATGATGAAGAACATCCTGGGGCATGCCGTCTATCAGCTCGTGGTCATCTTTGCCCTTGTCTTTGCCGGTGAGTCAAGGGTGGGGATGGGGGTGGGCGGCTGTTGGGGTGCTAGATGGAGATGGGGGTTGAGAATGGCCCAGGAAAAGAAGGTGGCCTGGGAGCAAGCCGAGCGCAAGCCTGGGAGTAACAGCAGCTTCGCGGATTGAGCGCCTCCTCTGTTCCCGCCAGCGAGTGTGTTATGCTGTTTTATGCACTCTTCTGAAGAATTTCACGAAGCTGGCTCTTTTACACCTTTTTTTATAGATTACAGAGCTGAAGCTCAGGTCACATAATGAGTAAATAGTGGCGCTAAGATTCAGACCTGTGTCTGCTTGCTGGTAGTGGTCACGGTTTGACCAGCACGCACACTGCAGGAAGGCGAGCGAGTGTTAATGCAGCAAACTGAGAGAGGCTCAGATATGTTGAGGCCAGGGCTGCCATCTAAAGTACTGGATAACTGGTGTGGCTCAGATGCTGGCCAGTTAGAATGGACCCCAGCCATAAGCAACCATGTTCTGGGTGCCACACCAACGTGCTCTGACTTCACCTGAGCCCTCGCTGAGAACTACTTACCCTCCGCTGCTTCTGTTCTCCCCACTAGGTGAGAAATTCTTTGACATCGACAGTGGGAGGAAGGCCCCTCTGCACTCGCCGCCCAGCCAGCACTACACCATCGTCTTCAACACCTTCGTGCTGATGCAGCTCTTCAACGAGATCAACTCCCGCAAGATCCACGGGGAGAGGAATGTCTTCGCGGGCATCTTCCACAACCTCATCTTCTGCTCTGTGGTTGTGGGCACATTCGTCTGCCAGGTGAGGGTCTAGCTGGAGTTTGGTAGGAGGGCTGGGATGACAAAGCAAGAAGCCGGGAGCCTAACTTCACTCAGTACCAGGAAGAACAGTGAGGGAGCAGTGAGGACTCAGGCTGTGGCCTAGACGCTTCTGCGTTCCCAGTTTGCCTCTGCTTGCACATTGCTCTAGCATTGGAGCCCACTGTGTCAGGTGCTCCAGAGCAAGGCATGTTGGTAGCAAATAAAATCAGACTTGTAGAGTCCTTTCATTGTCTTTTAAATGAAAAACACAGAAGTTTCACCAAGTGACCAAGAGGGGATCACTCTCTTCTAGCCCCTTTCCACGCCTCCTGCCAGCATACATGAAATGTGCACGCACATGCTGTATGGGCGCTCTCTCTCCTTGCCCCGTTGTTCTGAAGGCACTCATGGTATAAAATGCTGTGCAATTCACAGAAAAAGAAAAGTGATGGGATGGTGTGCATGTACTTGACAGATAAGCCTGGTTTAGGCTCCTCCTGTGGAAACTGCCCTTCTGGTGAAAGGATTGGGCCCCTTCCTTCTTGCTCTGGTCAGAGGTACACTAAAACGTCTGTGGACGCAAGAGATTATGATCTCACCCAGTGACAAAAGAGCTCTTGTCTCACCCTTCAGCAGGGTACCTCTCAGTCTGCCCCTCCTCGACTCCTCTTCTCTGTCATTGTGCCTTCTCCTTGTCACCAACTGGCTTTAGTCACAGGAAGCCTCCGGGTCTTTTTTTTTTTTCTCCCCGAAGCCCCAGTGCATGGTTGTATATCCCAGTTGTAAGTCCTTCTAATTCTTCCACGTGAGCCTCCACCACAGCGTGGCTACTCACAGAGGGTAGTGTGGTTCCATGACTGGGAAGCGAACCCAGGCTGCCAAAGCAGGAGTGCCAAACTTTAACCACTAGACCATCAATGCTGGCCCAGCCTCCAGCTCTTATGTTAATAACTTTCACAGTAACTGTGGCTGTCTCCCCATCAGAGTGCTCCATAAAGACTATTTGTGTCTGTCTTCTCTTCTCCCCTTCTGGATTTCTTTTTTCCCCCTTCCCAATAAGAAGATCGGGGCTTGCACCACGGGGATCCTGGGGCAGCAGGGTGACGTGGCTTTGGTGGCCTTGGCTGGAGGGCTAGCTGCCTGTTACTCACCTCCCTGAAGGTAGGCTGCCTCTTTCTCTCTTCTAGATTTTCATCGTGGAATTTGGGGGTAAACCCTTCAGTTGTACGAGGCTCACTCTGTCCCAGTGGTTTTGGTGTCTCTTCATTGGTATTGGAGAACTGCTGTGGGGCCAGGTGAGTGCTGCGTGCCCGCCCGGGCCCTCACACAGCCTGCAGCCCTCCTCCAGAGGAGGTGGGAGGGGCGGCCGCGGGGTCTCCCAGCTCCGGACCTGCGTCTTCTCCTCCCCTGCCATCTCTCCCGAGCTTTTAAGTTCTTTCTACCTTGTCGGATCCCAAAGTGGGATGATCAGTGTCCACCAGTGTGGAGGCTTTGTGTCTTTTCTCTCACCGTGCCTGGAGGCAGGCACATCTCTTAGGTCTCGGAGATAGGAGTGGAAATTTTCAATGGAATTTTGCCCAAAAAAATCAAGGGTTTTAGAAGAAGAGCTATAAAGCACGTCTTCATTCCAACAAAGCACAGTCTGGCCATGGGCTGCTGTGCTGACGTCCTGTTGGCCCCCACCTCTTCTGTTTCTCACCACAGCCTTATCTGGTTTGAGTGCCTGACTCTCAGCCAAGATAAATCCAGACTCAGAGCTCTCTAGAGAAGCAGGCTAGCATATGGTTCAGAGCATGGACTCTGGGACTGACTGCCTGCATTTGGATCCCAGCTCTCCTTTTTACAAGCTGAGTCACTATGAGTGAGTATCTTAACCACTTGTGCCTCAGTTTCCTCTACTTAGGATAACAAGGTCATTGTTAATGGTTGTTAATCAGCAAATCAGTTACAATACAGAAATGACTTAGAATAGTCTCTGGTACCCTGTAAGTACTCAGTAAATGTTAGCTGTTGATATTGTAACATCATCAGGTCTGGGAAGAGTTTTCTTCCTTCCCTACTACTGCCTGGCAGGTCCTCCTGGTCCTCAGCTGTTCAGCTGTGGCCTGGACTGTCCCTCTCCTTTGCAGACCCCAGGTCTCTACTCATTGATGCCTGGCCACCTGGGTAATGGAGGCTTTGCTCTAACTGGCCCCAAAAAGCCCTCCATGGGGCCGCAGGCCTTCCCCTGCCAGTTGTTTCTCTCACACCTCCTAGGTGCCTCCCAGGTGATCCCCGACCCCAGCTCCTGCCCTCGTCCCTCCACCGTGCTGTTTGTGACATTTGTTTACCAGTGGTCCCTGGTAAAACCTCTGAAAGCAGAACTTTGACGTTCTTCCTGTTTCTGAACACTTGGCTCCATATCGGATGGCCCACGCAGGCCCTCTTTCCCATGAGAGCCCTGTCTGCTCCTCATCCTGTTGGTAAAGGAGAACTGACGGACAGACTCTGAACTCACCGATGATTTATTCTGAGTTGCAAACCCAGCCTCCTGCTCTGTGTCTTCGGATAATGCTCACATGTCCCTTATTCCGTGGCCTGCTGCACCTGCCGCACGCCAACCCAAGCAGCTGTTAGTGCCCTTCCACTGGTGTGATAACACGGGAGGCGCCCTGCACGTGGTGACTAGGAAGAGTCGCCCTCTTCCACCCTCTGTCCTTCTCCGTCCGTGCAGTCTGACCATTCTGTGCCCACACTTGCTTTCCCCCAGGTCGTGGTCTCTGTCCCTTCCTACTTTGTGCCGTGCATGATAGTTCTACTTCTTTTAAAAGACACCTGGCAAAATGGGAAGGAGGAACTGAGGCAGGAGGAGGAGAAGGAAGTATGAAAGCAGGCAGGTGCTGGTCAGACGCTAGAATACAAGCTCTCCTTTGTGTGTCCACAAACACAGAAAACCTTCCTGAGGGCCTGACACTGGTGGGCACTTGGCAAATACTTGCCTGAGGGGCTTGGTGCTTCTCCCACTGCTCTCCCAGAGGGTAGGGCGATGGCACCAAGAGTGACCTACCCAAGGGCCTAAGCCACGTGAGTTGAGTGGCAGCTCTTCTCACCCTGACTCTGGTGTCTTCCTTCCTCTGCACTTGTTCTCAGGTAATCTCCACGATACCCACCCAATCCCTGAAGTTCCTGAAGGAGGCTGGGCATGGCACCGCTAAAGAGGAGATCACCAAGGATGCTGAGGGACTGGACGAGATTGACCATGCAGAGATGGAGCTGCGCCGAGGCCAGATCCTCTGGTTCCGAGGCCTAAACCGTATCCAGACTCAGGTACTCTGATAGTGGCCTGTCCTCACTCTGGGAGAAGAACTCTCCCCGTTTTGGGGGTGCTGGGAGGGCAGTAGCTCTTAGTGACCAACACCTCTCCCCTTCCGAAGGCCCACGACTGGGGGGCAGTCCTAGCTCCCTAGCTTCAGGACAGATGGGACCTGAGGGAGCTGCCTGGGCTCCTCTGAGAGGAGGGGAGAGGGCTGGAGCGCAGGACACTGGCTGTTGGCACGGTCCTTTAGCTTGGGGTTGGTTTGAAAGCCCACTTTCCCCCGCTCTGTGGGGTGGGCGAGCTCCTGCATCAGGTCCCTTGCAAGCACTGGGCCTAACCTCAGGGTGGGAAGCGTTCAGAGTCTCCCCTGCCCTTCAGAAAAAAGGAGTTGGACAGTGTCTCCACACCAGCATCCCCAGCAGACACCTAATGGGCATCTCTAGCTGCTGTTAGGACAAAATAGATGTTATCGGAAGGAATCTTTAGAAAAGAAACTCACCCTCCTATATCTTCCCCACTCAAAATTTAAGGCCATGCTGGGGAATCCGATGGTCAAGTGTGTATAAATGACAGTAGTCTCTCAGTGCCTGAGTATCTTTTGCAGGATTCAGATTTGCTTCCCAGAAAGGAAGAAGCTATAATTCCTTCAAACCTTTTCCCTTCTTGCAATTTCTGAAGTGGGATGGAAGCTGCTGCTGCTCCTAAGTGCCTGCCTGTAGCCCTGCAGTAACTTCCCCCACTTTCCAATTAGCACCTGCGACGGCCTCTCCTGGAGGAAAGGCTGGTCCAGGCGTGGCAGTCCTATCACTTTCCCTGTTCTGGCCCCATGACTCTCTGTTGCGTTAGTCCTGAGGCTTCCATCTCAAGGAACTGTAAATCCCTGAGTTCTCAAGGGTGTTCTCCAGAGAACAGGCCCATTCCTCTCTGCTGATTGGCTGGAGGTCCCAGAAACAAGTTTCACTTTCTAAAATTAGCCTTGCAGATGGTGTGGCAAGTTCCCTCGTCAAGGCTGCCTCCTTGGTGCATAGGGAGGAGAGGTGAGATGAGTATTCTGAACTGAATACCTGCTGGGAGCTTGCTCCCATAGGCAAGGCAACAGATGGAAGTGGGAAAGAAGGGCAGAAGTGGGAAAGAAGGTTGAGGTGAGGAAACACTGGGCCCTCTCCCCTCCCTTCCCTGGGAGGGAAATCCCGGGGGACCTGCAGAAACTGCCTTAGGGCATCCAGAGATCCCACACCCACTCCTCCCTCCAGGCTGCTGAGTCCATCACCAGCAAGGGCCTCTTGCACCCAGAGAACTTGGCGCCTCTGGCTCCTGTCTCTAAGGCCCCATGCTTTCCTTTAGGTCTGCTCTTTTCAGAATAACCTGTCTGCTTTTCTTCCCTTCAGGGTCATCTGCCTACTCTTCCACTCTCTGGTTTTTTTCCTAACCAGGATCCCCTCGTTCCAGTGTCTCCTGGCTCCTTGCCAGTCTTCTGTCCTCGGGGCTGAGATTCACGGATCTTCCTTCCCCTCCACTACCAGTTTCCATCCCCTCGCCCGTCCGCCTCTCTGTGGGCTTCCCTGTCTACATAGCGTGGGTCCACTACCTGTCCCTGGAGCGTGAGGCAGTTGGGCCAGAATGGCACTGAAGCCTAAACTTAGGCAGCAAAGACAGCCTGTTAAAGATGCCCCGGGACCACTGCGTGCCGTTGCACTGTGTGCACCGGACTCTATGAGCGGATGAGGCTGACCTCGCTAACCTGCATCCAGACCCCTGAAGCTCTCTCCTGGTGTCCACTGTTCAGCCTCAGCAGGGTTCTAACGAGATCCCCTGCCGTCTGATTGCTGATCCTTGTCATTCTCAGTGAACACTTAGGCATGGGAGGTGTTGCCAGGCAGTTGTCCTGTCCTGGTCCCTTTGGTTTGGGGGGAGCTAAAAGCACTAGAAAGTGGAAGTTTGGGAAACTTAAGGGCAGCGATCTTGGGAAGGTAAACTGGGATCCAATTTCATTGTGGAGGTTGGGACCTTGTGACCCTAACAAGCACTGAGGAGGGTGTCTCTACAGCCCCTTCTTCCATGGAGCTGGACCCTCCCCACATGCAAACCCTCTCCTCGTGCAGAATCAGGCTCCTCAGTCCCCTGGAACTGAGAACCATATAATGTAATGAAGGAGTGGTATTTTAGCTCAAACTTTGGTCTGAATCCAGAAACCAGCCCTAAACAGTCCATGGCTTCTCAGGAAGCTTGATAAATAAGAACAACTGTCTGACTCACAAGGTGCCTGCTTTCCCACCTCTCTCCCCGGGGAGGGAAGTCAGATGAGTGGAATCAGCACCTTTCCACCCTTCCTGCTAGATTGGCCCTTGATGTTAAGCGTATGGGCATTTTTAAGATGATTCTACCAGATCCTGAAGGATAAAGAAATTCCTTTTGATTTCTTCGTTGTTAGTTAGGGGTCAGACATAAGGATGGTAAGTCTGACCCAGGCCTCAGACCAAGACCATTGTTGGAAACCAAATGGCATGAATTGCCTCTTGTCTCCAGGATTCGGAGACTGGAGACCGGAAACCGCTTGTGTAAGGCTGGACCTGCAGTTGCTCACCAGCCCCACCAACCCACAGCTCTTCCTCCCCTCTTCAGCCTAACTGCTGAGTTATTGTCCGCATTTCTGCCAGACATTTCCAGATCTCCAGTGTATTCATGCAGCTGGTGGCATTCTCTCTAAAGAGCCTGGCCACTGGGTTCCTGAGCTCCATCCCCAGGGACCCGGTCCACTTCAGCCCCAGGGAAGAGTGTCTCAGGGAAGAAAGCCAGGAGAGGGTGAGGCCAGCGGCTCGGGGTCAGGAGCCCTTCCACCGTGGCCCCTATGCATGGGTTACTGCACGCCTCTGTTTTTGCTTTAAACACATGAGTTATTTTCCTGGAAAATCTGCAAAAATAAATAGTTAATTTAATTTGTTTAGAGGTTCCTGAGCCTCAGAATTAAGTAATCATGCTTTGCCTTCCTTCTTAAGTCGCATGCCTGATTTCTTAGAGTACAGGTCAAAACGATGAAGAAGCTGTCACTCTCTCTGTGTTAAGAGTTATGGGGGTCCCTTTCGATACTTTTGGACACCAGCATGCCTAAAATGTCCTCCGTAGACTAAAAGGGAAGAGGACTGGATTCTGGTGGGGTGTGTGGACTCCATGGCAAACTGCTCCTTAAATGGTGATCACAGTTGACGTCTTCCCCCTCTCATCCCCATTGGTTTGTGTGCCAGGGAATCTCTCTTGCTTTCCATCTTCTGTCTCCTTTTCCCAGTTCCTTCCAACCCCTTCCCTAACCCTCCAGGACCTTCCCTTCCTCTTTCTTCGCGTCTCTCTGATTGTGGAGCAAAGCTGTCTCACTCTCTGATTCTTTGCAGATCGACGTAATTAACACATTCCAGACGGGAGCCTCTTTTAAGGGAGTCCTAAAGCGGCAGACCGCGGGGCAGCACCTTGATGTAAAACATGTTCCTAGCTCATCCTATGTAACAGTTGCGCCAGTCAGATCTCCCCCCACCACTTCTGTTGCTGCTGCTGTTTCATCTCCTACTCTGGGCAGTGAGTGATAGTTATTATGATGCATGATTTGCTGAAATGACCACAAGAGAGCACGCAGCATCCACCTTAACCAACCGTGATTATCTTTTCCTTTGGCTTTTCCCTTTGATCTTTGACTTGATGAAGGAAAAGTGGGATAAAAATCCCACTCCAAAACCAGGCTGTGTGCCCTTTTATCTTATTTTATTTATTTTTTAATGTTGAAAGCTATTCAACCTTAACCATCCTGTTTTCTGATTGTTCCTCTGCATTGCTTATTTCTTCCTTATGTTTCTTCTGTTTTGCTTGACCTTTTGTATTGTTTTTTGCTTTGTTTGGATATGTCGTTGTTGTTCCTCTTCTTTCCTCCTGCTCCTTTGAGTCTAAACTCTCTTTCCTGAGGTTAGAGGTAAGCTCAGACCAGATGAAAACCTGGAACTCTCATTATTTGGGGGCAAGTTTGAGATCTCCTGAAAAAAGGTATGAAGGGCTTTTTACCAGTAGATCCATCATAATTGAGCCAATATTGAACTTGGCTGATAATAGTCCTTTTGGCTACCGCTTTGTTGTTAGCTGGCAGCATAGGCATAAAAATTGTAGCTGAATGTGAAGAAAAGGTGTTCAGTTCAAATGCACAGGTCTGAGTATCCCCGTTTTTTTAATTTTCAGGGACTTTAATCCAAACTCTGGTTTAAGAATCAGTTAATTTACATCTGGGTAGGAGAAATAGATGAAAAGGTCAAAATAACTTATTTTTTCTTACTCATTAAACTTTTTTTTTAGGAATTTCTGAAGAGCAACCTTTTTTTTGCTTCTCCTTTCCTCTCGATTGATTGTTTCACCTATAGCCCTTCATATCTTATTTTGCACGTCAAGTTTTAGGAACCCTTTCTCAGCCAGCCTCTCAGTTGGAATGCTGTCAGTGCTCGCTCTAAGATCTGGTGTCCCCAGTGGTCGGTTACTGGGTTCTTGCTAATGCTTATGCCTTCCTATTTCTGGTCATTTTACCTTCCCCAAATGGGACACAGAGGAGAGAGAAGGCTCTTTGCTGATAGCGCTGTTTAGGTATTTGGTGGGGAAGGAGTCTCCCTATATTAAGTATATTGTGGGTTTCAGACATCTCAGTGCTTTGTCTGTCCCTTCCTCCCCACCCCCAGCCACCACCCCAAGGCCTGGGACAGGGGTAAAGACAGAACAGCTGTGTTATTGTTGGTTCACATTATTGGTTCATGTGATTATGAGTTGTATAGGTTACCAGACTTATATTATTTTATCTTTTTAGCCAACTGTAAGTGTTCTCATGTAGGGAATAGAGGGTAGGGTTTTATATAGATACATATTTCATTAGGCCCAAAGGCAGTCAAAGAACTAAATAAGTCTTACCTTGCAAATGTCAAAGAGCCTCTTTGCTCTGGTCCTTCCATATGCCTCTCTTATTTTCTTTTTTCTTCTAGTTTTGCCATGACCTTCTAACTAGTTTTTGTTCTCTTTCAATCATGCCTCTCTGTTAGGAAGGGTTATGTCAGATGTCCCAGTGATTTGAAGGTAGAAGAAGACTAAGCAGAAGGTAGAGCCCGTTGGACTCTCATTGAGTCGCGTAGAGGGTATACTACAAATCCTCAGAGTCTAGAAAACCAGTCAAGAGAGACAGGCCACACCTGCTCTTTCTCCAGCTGTGCCTTCTTACTTGCAGTCCTAGAAGTTATGGTCATGCGTTGTAAAACCCCCTTTCCCATTCCAGATCTCCAAATGAATTCCGTCATTTATCTAACCTTCAGTGGACAAATCTCCAAGATTTCCCTCTGTAGGAAGGCCCATCCCCCCTATTCCCCTGGTTTCTGAAAGGGGAGCAGAAAATGACAGAACACCAGCTGAGGAAATGGAGTCTTCATCTGCCCATTCCTCGAGCTCCAGAGAGTGGCCCTCAGCACTCCTACCTAATCTGAGGTTCAGCCTGGTTGCGGCTCCTGAGTCATGAGAAAGAGTTGCCTTTCAATCAGCCACTTCCACCTGTAGGACAGGGGCCACAGAAGAGACATTTCCCGGAGGGTTTGAGAGATGATGACCAGGGAAGGCAGGGTTGATTGGCTGAGTGGAGAGTGCCTGAAGCTTGCACAGCGCCTGCTTTACTAGCTCTATCTTGTTCCCCATACATTGCTCATGCACCAGGCACCATGCATCAGGAAGAAAAGATGCCACCACTTGGGGTGGGTTGGCGATGACGTGTCTGTGTGATTGTTCTGCCACATGTGTTATGTATTCTCTGAGGCCAGTGTTGGAGTTGAGGAGCATTCTGGCACAGCCCATGCCCTCTACCCCTCACCCTTCTCTCTACCCACCAGGCCACCAGATGGTACTCCCTAGCTCTCTAACTCCTCTTCACTTGAGCTTCCCTTGCAGGTGGCTGGTTTCCCTTTAGATTCCAGAAGTCCTGTAATCTAGCCGGATGACTGTTCCTTGCTCCCCCAAAGAAGAAATTTTCCCTACTTTTTCCATATATCCACCCCCAATTCGCTTTTATCTCCCTTATTGTTTCCCTGTAACAGTGTTGTTGGTCACCCCAACAGGTGAGAGGAAGAGCCGGCAAACAGGGCTCCAGACCCTCACTACAATCTGAGTTTTTAAAAATCTGTTTTCTATTTTGGACCTCACATACAATAGTTTTAATAAAGTATTCAGTTGCTTCAAAAATGATAGAAGCAGGAAGTTTGAAAATCGCTGATACTGAAGATGATCAACTGGTGGTAGAAAGCAGATGTTCTTTTGTAGCCCTTGTCAGAAATTTTGAGATCTCAAGAGCAGGTGAAAAGTATGGACGATGTTGTCACTCCTACAGGAGGTGGTGTGGCTTTGAACCCATCTCTTGCCTGGGCCGAGGGCGAAGGCATTGGATTTGAGCTCACTCACTCCACGTTTCCTTCTTTAAGATGTGGTGTAGATCAGCTAAAACTTGGGACCTCCCGAGGCCCAGATGGAGCCTCTACTCCATCTGCCCTCACCTAGATCTGAAGCAGAGAGAACACGACAGGTGAAATCCACCTCGTAGCTGGTCATGAGAATCCCAGAAGGATGGAAAAGCAAGCCTCACTTTCTGACCAGCATGGTGAATGTGTGCCCTTAGTTCTTCTTGGCTGAGGTACTGAGCTGATTGTCTTGAGTGGCCAAGACTCCTCTGCCTTCTAACCTCTGAGCACCTTCCACCCTGGGTGGGTCTGCCGGCTGTGGTGGAGTGGGGCAAGTTGAGGAAAGCCTTGCCCAGCAGAGACACCATGTTAGTGAGCCTTCTTTGCACAATATTGTTGAAGGTTCTGTGCAGTGATAGGAAACACTGGGACGGGCAGTCCAGCCAGTCCATTTGCCTGACTCTCTCTGTGCTCTGCTGTCCCCACATTCTTGCCTCTTCTCCAGGAACATATTCTTTGCTTCAACAGCAGAGGAATGCAAGAGGTGTCTACCCCAACATTCAGCCCTCCTCCCTGCCTGCTCCCCACCACAGCAGTTTCTCCTGCATTGCTCCCATCTCTTTTCTGAGGAAAGGACCAGCCGCCTCCCAAAAGCTGAAACTGTCCTACCACCACTTTCTTCTCCCCTGGCCTCTCTCTCCAACCTCTTGGGATCCAACCTTCTCCCCTACCCCAGTTCTACCAGCCCAGGTTCTAAGCCATGCCTCAGGGAGGCCTGCAGCTCAGAAGAGCAGGCTGTGAAAAGAGCTGCTGCCTGTGGATAAGGTCCAGGCTAGTCCAGGCGTCCGTTATTGTCCTTTTTTTCCTCTTCTCTAAGTTGACTGAGTCCTTTCCTTTTGTGTGCAGTAGAACAAAGACTTTGACACTTACAGGGCAGTGCATCTCCCTTTGCCAGTAAAACTGTAGATTATTTCCTTTCCTCCATCCTCTTCATCTACCCCATTAGAAAAGCCTCTTATTTGTAGCACTGCCTCCGGGATTGGGTGATTTCTCTCCTGGTCCCATTCCTCCCTCCTCCAGCTAAGATCATGCTCCCTCTTCACAACTTAGAAACAGCTGGAGAAAGCTGCATGACTGGCCGCAGCTCGGTGTCAGAGGCATCGACGTGCGTCAGGGTCGTGAGAGCCAGGTCTGCTCTCGGTAGTCAGGAGGAAGCATCTTTGATACCCGTATTTCATCAACATCTTCCAGGGGAGGGACTGCAGGAGTGGGGTTCTGCTGTCTTTTGGGGAAGGGGACATGGGGGAGGTTATGGGATATAAGTGCATGCATGTTTCCTGGCTGAAGAGCAATTCTTAAATTGGAAAGTGTGAGAGTTGTCCTTCCTTGCATGCTGCTGACGCAAATGAAGATTGGTCTGTCTGCCTTGCTGCATGGCATTCGTGGTCACTTGTTACCCGAAGTGTGTTATGTACAGATTGCTATGTGTTTAGCTCTTTGAGGATTTTAAACAGATAACTAAACTTCAGTGTGTAATTTTTCCATTCCACATTCACAAAATGTTTGGCCTTGATACAGAAATCCACATGTCTGAATCATCGTTTAAGTTTGGCTATTAATCTGCATCCAGTTCCAACATTGTAGCCCTCCGTGCAAAAGAACTAATGAATCTTTTTGTTTTCTGTTTGATTTGAAGAGTGGATTGTTTGGGAATGCTAACTTTGCTTTGGGATTTCTACTTTGTTTTGTTCAGCTCTTGAAATATCCTAGTTGTTTGCCATTACTCACCCCACCCCACCCCAATGCTTGAAATTTGAGCCATGTGGTGTTTCTAGTGTTCCATGACCTCTTTTATGTTTGGTTTTGGTTGTTGAGCAGTACTGTTTTATCATTTAGGTTTTGTTTTTCTCCTCAAACCGCCAGTTCCTTGTTCTCCTGGCCGATTCTCACCTCCATGTTTTCTCATCCTCCTTTTCCTTCCCCTGGTGTAGATCAAAGTGGTCAAAGCGTTCCATAGTTCCCTCCACGAAAGCATTCAGAAACCCAAGAACCAAAACTCCATCCACAGCTTCATGACCCACCCTGAATTCACCCTATGTGAGGAGGGGCCACGAACACCACTCCTGGATGAGCAAGAGGAGGAAAATCTTGAAAAGTTTCCTAAGTCTGGGACTAGGGTGCTCCTGCTGGACGGAGAGGTCACTCCATATGCCAACAAAAACAACAATGCGGTGGACTGCAGCCAAGTCCAGATGGGTGCCTCCCTCTCGGACAGTCGCCTGCACAGCCTGGAGACGTCAGTTTGAACTGCATTCTCTGACTCCCGTTTCTGCTTTCCCTGTTTCCTTTTTCATCTGTCCTGTCCGTAAGGTGAGGATGGGACTTTCACTGTCATGTCAGCTGCTCCCAAGTGTGTGTGAACCCCCACCTGACCGTGAAGAGGCAAGAGCACACACCTACCGGGATTTCAACTTAAACTTGAGTTGAGGTTTGTAGCAGGACCCAGTCAAACCCCAGGCAGGTAATGAATGGTGGAATCTACTTCTTGGGTGTATCAGTTGTCATTTTTAAAGAAATAATGACAATCCTCTTGGCATCCATCTCAACCCAAATTTCCCCCCAGTATTCGTATATGTGTCACCGTCTTCTGACTTCTGGATTTTACCCTATGAGTCTGTGCCATTTGTAAGCTCACTTGAGGGTTCAGAAAGACAAATATCCTCAAATGTAATGTATTGAGGTAGGAATGGAACGTATAGAATCAGCCTGCAAAGTGATTGTTTTTAAAATGATTTTTCCACTTTGAAAACTTCTACCTAAAGCCTTCGAGCTCTTCTGCGCTTTCAGTCAGACCTCCCTACGGTTCTTTGGGTCTTTTCTGACCATTGCCTTCCTTACCTTCACTCTCTCTCTCTCTTTCTTTTTTTTTTTTTAACTTGTGATGATTAGGAAGGTAGAACGTGAATGAATTGTCAACTTTGGCCGTCATTCCCCCTTCTGGCCCCAGTGGAACCCTTGTTTTAGTTCTAAAGGAGATAAGTTTCTTTGCTAAAAGGGTGCTTTTGAAGCAATGGAGAGCTGGTAAGAATGTGTTCCTGTTGTTGCCAGGTTACCTTCCACTTCCAAACCACCATCCTGTCTTGTGTGTGGTTTGTAAGTGCCGGGGAGCTCAGCCTTGACCATGAAGCTTGCATATGTGTGGTATGTAGTTTTTACCATGAGCCTGAGCTTTCTCCTATTCCTAAAGTGGTGGCAAAAGAATGAATAGAGGACGACCCTGCCTCCTAACTGGACTTGATATTGAGGACCAGAAGCTGGCAGGTCTAGGACAAGACAGACCATCAAAGTCAGTTCTTGTGGGTCCTCCTTGGGATGACCACAACTGCTCGAAAGCCATCCACCAGTGCTCTTCCAAGGCAGGAGCTGATAGTTGGGGGCGGGGGTGAGTATTGAAAAGCCTTGGGAGAGGCCAAAGGGCCATCCCAGCAGTATCTGAGAAACCAGAAACCGTGAGCTTCAGTGTGAGTACCAGCTTAGACATTCCCTTCAGTTTTCTCATTCTTTGCCCTGTCCCCTAACTTGTGCAGTCTCTGCAAAGGCTCTAACCTTGCTCAGATAGTCTGATTTTGAAAATATATATCCAGAATGGGAGGCTCCAGTGACATTTTGCTGATGTAACGGAGCAAAAGGCCCACCCTGAAATGCCCTCCTCGTTCCTCTTCCCCGCCTCGCGCGCCCCGAAGCCCTCCCAGAGCACACTCGGCTGCGCGGTGAAGCCTCTGCCCTCCTGCCCCGGACGCTGCCCGCAGCAGCCCCCGCCCACCTGCCTCTCAGGAGCCGGGGACTTTGCTGGGAGCTTCTTTAAGTGTCCCGTGATGGGACTAGGTGGAGCGTGTTTGTGGGAGCTCCACTTTTACCCCTGCTGATGTTGGCTTCAGCTCTTCTGTGCAGGGTTAGCTCACGTCTGCCCGTTCTCTCCCACGAGGTAAGTGAAGCCTGTCTCTGTCTTTCTAGAATGAGGGGAGTTGGGAGAAGGGGCTTGCGGCTCGTATGAACTGCCACATTTCCGTTTGTGAGAGTGGGAGACCCAAGCCTGTCCTCTGCAGCCCTTCCTTCTGGATCTTTCTCCCTCACCCCTTCACCGGAACTATCCAAGGGAAGGAGAGTAAGAAACAGCACCCCACACACTGCATTACCACATCACCCACCAAAGTTGAGTTTGTTTTTATAAAGGTTACATGCTTCAGCAGTCTTTTCTCTGTCTGAAATACAGGGAATTTATTTATTGTGGGGAGGAAAAAAACAGCTCACCCAAGGTGTCAGGTGTTCCCGTGCATATTTATTAAGTACGTTGGAAGATTTAGTTCTCTCGAGTCTTTTATTACCTCAGATCAGCTTGAAAAATAAGCCAACAACAAACTTTGGAGGCTCTTTCACACTCCTGCTCCCAGAAGACTCTCGGTGCCTGACCGGTCACTCTCGAGGGCTTGCGTCTACTTGTTTAAAACTCAACGGGTATTTTGTGTATTCTAGTTTCCATAGTAGGAGAGAAAATATAGAAATATTATGCAAAAAAATATAGTTTTCTTTAGATCAGAAACTGATATTTTTTGAGTCAGCCATATGTATTTTGTTTAAAGGATTTAGAATAAAGTACTGTCATGGAACCCTGTGGAAGGGAGCAGAGACCCAGCTGTTAGACATGACAGGTGACTTCATATATTTGTAGTTGGTCTCGAAACCAATGCACCGTACTTCTTTCTCCAAACAGCCATCTTTTTACTTAGGGGAAAAAATTTGTTGGGTTCTAGACTTTTTTAATATAAATTTTGTTGATACGGAGTTGAGTACGTTTAAGTGTTTATGTGCATATGTTTTTTATATAAGTTTTTTTTTTCTATTCAGTTTCAGTGATCCAACTGGCAGTGAGTAAATATGGCATAAGTTAATAAAGTTTTCCCCCAAAATGGTGCTTTGGATTTGAAAAGGGTCTGATGGGGAGAAGGGGAAAACATCTTAGATTCCTCTCTGGATAAACCTAGAAAAACAGTCAACAGACTGCAGATGGGAAGGACAGCATCCAGCAAGAAGGGGCAGTGGCAGGCCGTGAGCATGCGCCCCTCTAGAGGGGGCGCCAGGCTCTTCAGTGACTAGTGATTAGGATCAGGGCCTGGGTGGACTGGGGTTGCTTGTAGAGCAGCCGGCAGAGTGGTACCCCAGGCATGAGTATCTCTCGTGCTGCAAGGATATTCTGATTTGGGGTTTGCAGTTTTTATGCTTCTTTCACCTCCTGTTGTCCCCGCAGTTTTGCATTAGTGAGTTTTTGTGCAAGGATCTGATTGGGGCCTTCTTAGCCTGCCCTAGGAAGGTGTCGGACAATCTATTAGATGGGGGGTAGAGCTGTAAGTGGGAAAACCAAGGCTGGGTCTAGCCCTGGGGACAGTCTTGGCTAGGACCTTCCTGTGGTGTCCTCTACCCTCTGAAATGACTCCTCCATCCACCACCTAGAAACCCTTCTGGCACTGTGGCTTCCTTAGGGTTTGGGTTTCTTCTCCTCCTCGAGCTTCCGAGGGGAGAGGTTGCACAACGAAATCAGAGGATTACCTCACCCAGAGGGCGCAGCAAGCTCGCAGGTGCCCCGACACCCCTAAACGTGGCGCGTCCTCTCTTCCCTGCTCCCCTTGCCTAATGATGGAAGCAGCCCAAGCTGCCCTCACAGAGTGCACATGTCCGCACTGTCCATGTCGGCCACCCCACTGCAGTGGGGGGTGGGCCGGACCCTTGCCTGCCCTTCCTAAGCCGTTCCAGCCTCTTCCTCAGAAGAGACAGATACCCCTCCATTGAGCTCCGTGCCAGTCCTCGACCTTCCCAACCTTGCTGTTTGGCCTGCTGTCTTCTTTCCTCTTGAGGAGGAGAGAGGAGGGAGGTGAGCTTCCCAGGACTGAACTGGCCTTTGGTTCCTGTTTTCTCCCATATGTATATATGCCATATGTGAATATGCCATATATATGTACCAAGAGATCTGTCTATGTTGTTCTTTTCAAAGCAGCACGCAGATAGGAATTTTGAATTTCTTCTCTTTTTTCAGTAACTGGTATAACAAGCACTGGTATTTTTATATAAAAAAGAAAAACAAAACAGAAGATTGACTTGTGATCTGCATGACAAAAACAAATGGTGGTCTCGAAGCCGTGTGCACCCCGCTGTGTGTTGCCATAATGTGCAGTTCAGCTTAACAGCGCGGCCAATCTGTATTTGCATTCTGATAGTATTTAAACCCTCTGTGCAGTGTTTTGCATGTGTTTATATGATTCTTAGGGAAAAAATGCTATAAACTGGCAAATCTGAAATTCAAATATGTTGTTCCACTGAGACAGGAAGAATAAAAGAAGAATTTTAAAAGAAGGAAAAAAGGGATAAGTTTTTTGGAACCAATAAAGCTTTTTGTTGATGAGCAGAAACCGGTACTGCCGTGCACTGAGAATAAAAACCCATGCCCACTGGTAACTGCGCTGTCCTCAGTGTTCTCCGCTTTTGAGTCATGTCACTCTGTGTCTGTTGAAGTTGAGAAGGGATCTGCCACAGCCACGTCGAGAGCCCCATCTCTGCAAGCCCAGAACTCAGCTTGTCGCTGGACCCTGACATGCTTCTCTGCCAGCACTTCCCCCAGTGACTGGCGGCCCCGGTTGTCAGATTCATTTCCTGGAGTACGAGCTTTCTCTGCCCCCTCTGGTCAGAATTTATGATCAGGGAGCTGTCAAGCTGGAGCTCTTGAGAAAGGATCCGTTTAGAAGGATAAGAGGCTCGATGTTCCTTTTTTCTTTGCTTTTTTTTACTTAATAAAATGCCTTTTGGGAAAATTCATTCCACTTATGTTAGCAGCTTTTCCCTGCCTTCCCTCTGGGCTTCTCCAGTCCCCATCTTTCCAAAGTGTTGTGTCTGTTTTAATTGTTCCATCATTGAGTCTCTGGCACGACTGATCTTGGGCCCCAGTTTCAGATCAAAGCAGCTTCCTGGCAGGTCGTTTAGGTTCTGAGCTTCCATATCTCAGAACTCAGAACTCCTTCCTGCAGCTTTCATTCAGGGGCACAACCAAGTCCCTGGTCTTTTTCACAACATCTAAAGAAGGAAAGGACTTCGTCGGCTCCCCAAGGTCCTTTAGGGAAAGAGTGATGTTGAGGAACAACCCGAACTCTCCGCTGTTTTAACAGGCGGCGCTGCAGGAGGCCCAGCCAGGGGAGGCCTCCCAGGCTGCTCTGCCCCTTAGTTTCTTTAAAATGGGCTGGGGAAAAATAGTAAGTAACAAACAAGCACATGAACAAGAAACAGGGGCTGCGGCTTATTTGATAAAAGGAGTCATTCACAAAACAGAACTATTTTTTTTTCCATTGTAGTTTCCCTCCAAAATACCCATGCTGAAAAGGGATGCCACGCACGCACGTGCACACACCCTCTTTTCCCCCCCTTACCCTCACCTCCTTGTCTTTGGTTGGGCCCCAGATGTGTGCCTCTCTGCTAATGCCAAACAGGATCTTAGGCATCCATGTCTCCTGACCCAGCGTGCAGTAAGGTGTGGAGAAGAATAACTTCCAGGTGGCTTTCTGGCAGAGACCAGCGTATCACAAGGCATCGGTTCAATGGGTATAAAGCCAGCTCGGGCCCTTGGGCCTGAGTTACCATATGGAAAAAAGCATGCTTTTTTTCTTCCATCTTTTCCTTACCCCCAGTTCTAGAAAAGAACAGTATCTTTGCCCTCCATCTTTAATAGTGGTTTGTGCGTCTCCCCTTTCTCAACCGCCACATCCTCTCCCTGTGCTCACTGGGTTAGTTTGAAACTCTCCACCAAGACCATCTGGTTCCATCCCAAGGACACACACAACCAGGCAACTCTTGGACTTACTCTGACAAATCCAAAGACGACTCACTGGGTGCCAGTGAGCTGGGCCCGTTAGGGCGTGGCCTTCATGTCACCGCAAGCAGGAAGGAGGATGAAATTGGCATGTCCTTTAGGAGCAAATACCTCTGAGACCCTGTTGTAAATAAAACATGTAAACACATTACTGTCTTTCTGTGTGGTGTCATTAACGCCCAGTTGTCCCCAGCGTGAACCTAAGCCGCGAGAGGTGACACCTGCTAGATTCAGTGACCAGAATACTTCTAGCCTCGAAAGTAGACACTTCCAGGTTCTGCGCTTGATGTTAATGTTGTCTTTACTCTGAAACTTGTCTCAGAGGACACTCCCTGTCCTCAGAAGACACACACCTAGAAGGAAGCAGTCTCTTTGGAATGGCCTCCACTGCCGTCTCCTGAGAGGCTGCTGTCAAAACCAGGAGGTCACTTCACGCTTACTGACAAAGAGAACGTAATGATCTACATGTTTGGAAAGCAAATTCCAGTCATAAGTTTGACTTCTGCTCGTGACGTCTGAGCAAGGATGCCATCACTTCAGAGTCGGGTGCGTCTGCCTCTGCTCTCGAATGGACCCGGTCCCTGGGTTCAGGCTCGGGCGCCGCTTGAGTTCTCTCGTGGACCCTGTAGCAGAGGCCACGTGGATCATCCTCCAGACAGCACGATTGCTAAGGCTAAGTTTTCCTGCTGTGCTAGACCCAAGAATACTACAATGAAAGGCTGTGATTTGTGTTTTATAACTTCAGATCTTAGCGTCTTGGCCTTATTTAAAGTAAAAATACATGAAAACTTATTTGAAAGAGGGAGGGAGGACTGGGAAGAAGCAATTCCTTTCAGCCATATCAGAGGGAGAACAAGTGTACCCGTGGTGATCCGAAAGCTGCTCTGAGTCGAGGATTCCCACATTCGCCCTACCAAACCTTTGAACTGAAACTGCTGCTGATAGTTTCCTGCCCAGCTTCGGTAGAGGAGCTAAAACAGACAAATTAGAGAGGTGGAGTGAGATCCTGATGTGTGGCAGCCTAGGATGTGTGGCGGGAAACACCGTCCCAGACCCCACTCTGCTGCTTGACTGGCTTGATTTTCCATCTCTACAAGGAGACAGCTGGACTCCATCAAAGATTCCACATTACACTTGGAAGGTCTGAAAGGGGTTCCTTAGAGATGCTTCAGAGTCCACAGCTATTCAACAAAGTAGCATATTTTGTTCATGTATTTGGCTTCCAGGTCAGCAGCAGCTTTAAAGAATGACTTAAAAGCACCACAACCTAGCCACCTCTAGGGTCCCCGTTGGCTCTGAAATGCTGTGATGCTGATTAACAAGCCAGATAATCAGTGCCGAAATGACCCAAAGTTGGGTGGTGATGTAACAAGTTGTGTGATTAAATACATAAGCAAGCCTGATTTGGACCGTGTCTCAGTTGTCTCCCATGATAGTTACCAGTGTACGCAAAAGGGATGTCCTCCAGCATGCCAAGGTTGTTATCTCACTGCTTCTATTGTAGAAAGAGCAGTAGTTTGGAAATCCAGAGATCTAACCCAGTGGAGTGGCATAAAATTAGAGAGGACGGCGAGAGGGCTCGCTTGAGCTCTGGTGGAAGAGCCTGCATGGAGAGTACAAAGCCCGCCTTAGCATCCTGACCCTGCCGCTGGTTTGCTGTGTGAACCAAGTCTTTCCAACACTGACACTCTTCCCATTCTTACTCTGGTGTCTAAAATTGCTATTGATAACCGTTGGAGAATGGCTCACTGGCTGTTCTCTTTCCTTGCGCTGTCTCCCCCGGGATGTCACATCGTCAAGGATGCACTGAACAGCACTGCAAACCGGGGCATGCCCAGGCAGGTTTCGCCTGGGACTCAGCCACTTAGACCTGCAACAGAGATAAATGTTCCACAGTCCTTAACATCCAAGAAATCTATTTCTTTTCTAAATCAAATCAAATCTAGCACCTAACTAGCTAGCACTCACCTGAATCTGTGAGAGGTCTCAGTCATTTTTTATGGTCTCATCCCCTCCCCTTGGACACTGGTCCACTCGTTTATTCAACAAGTATACACTGTGCCAGGTGCTGTTGTATGCACTGGGGCTACAGCAAGAAACAGAACCAAGGCCCTGCCCTCTTCAAACCGTCTCGTGGAGGAGAGAGAGTAAACAAGGCAATATAGAGCGTGTTGAATGGTGAGAAGGACCAGGGAGACAGGGAAAGTGTGAGGGGAACAGGGAGCACAGAGCAGGAGGATTGCGCTTCTGCCGAGGTCAGGGAAAGCCTCTGACAGAGAGACGTGAGCTATGTAAATGTGGAGGAAAGGGATTCCAGGAAAAGGGCACTGGCAAGCGCAAAGGCCCTGAGGCAGGAGATCTGGGTTGCGGACATGCAGGGAAGCCAGGAGTTGGAATTGGGTGACTCAGTGGGCAAGTGAAGGAGATGAGTTCAGAGATGGAGGGTTGGAAGTAGGGGCAGAACCTGTAACCTATAATGAGGTTGCGTTGCAGGAAGTGGGAGTCCACTGGAGGGTTGTGACCAAGGACTACTATGACCTATCTTGCAGTTTAAGAGCATCATGCTGGCTATCGTGTGACTGCAACCCAGGGCAGACGGAGGAGCAGTGCAGCTCTGGCTGCGCACGTGCCACACGTGGGCCCTGCCTAATGCTGAGGGCCACAGGCAGACCCACACCCGCCCTTGTGCTGTTGTCCTATGACACACAAAGGAGAAACGAAAATGCTTGTTCAAAAAAAATGTAAATTAAATTAAGCTATGCTGCTTGCCACCCTAGCTTGTTCAGGACGCTCTGGTTAATGAAATGATTGAAATGGTATTCTACTCACTCACACAAGAAGGGAACAAAGAAAACCATCTTGACCTGTGCTTTCCCTGCACCAGCCTCCCACTCCTGTTGTCACTCCAGCTATCTGGGCCCCAGCAAGGCCCTCTGCCCCAGGCGCCGCTTCTCGGGTGCTCTGTGCCCTCACCTGATGCCTAACTTGACGGCCCACCCTGCTCCCGCAGCTGAGGAGCTGCCTCCCTCCTGGAGCCAGGGGACAGATCAGCTCTCGCGTGGGCTGCTGGGGGACGTCCAGGGGCCGTCAGCAGACATTTGCTCATCCAGACGCGCTTCCCAGCTGTCTCTATGCCGGCTCCATGGTTGCTAGGCCTCGAGGGGAGGCTGCCGAACGTGGAACTTCAGAGGGACCACGCAGGCAGAGGTCACCAGACGTAAGGAAGGGCTCTCTTCCTGTCGGCAGTGCCAGCCCTCCTCCGCTAGGGCCTGGCCCAACAGGGCACAGAAACCGCCCCTGCATCTGGGCACACTCCTTGCTGCTGCCAAATTCTCCCTCTCCCCAGGGGCCTGGGGCGGAGCAGGGGCAGGGAGCAGAGAAGTGAGAGAAACAGCTCTGTACTTCCTAAGTCTTTCTGTCCTAACCCTGCTCTCTCACAACTGTGACTTAAAAGGAGGGCATCTTCAGCCTTTGTGCCCTGTTTCAGACCTGTCTGGGCTGGAGAAGGCCTCCAGGACACAGACGAAGGAGGGGTTCGGCTCACTGCCGTCGGGGCTCCAGCTGCCATCCTGCTGTGGCTGTCTCAGCCCCTAACCCTTCAAAAACAAAGCCTGGCTGGAGGTGTCTTTCACACAAGGCAATTTGGGCAGTTTTGGGGCCTAGAAATACAAAAGCCACTGTTCAGCCCATCCTAGAGCGAGGAGACCCGCCTGGGACTCAGGGTGCCCTTCGCGAGAGAGGCAGGGCTGTCAGCGTGGGGCCTGCCCAGTCCCTTGGCTGATGAGCACACAGCAGGACAAAAGGCTCAGCACTGACCTATTTCTCCGTCTCTCACCCCATTACACACTTTGGTCATGAATTCTGAGCAGCAACAAGCACCTAAGAGAACGTCAGAGAGCCTAAGGAACCCTCACAGTCAGGCACTGTGCCCCATGCCGCAGAACAACAAGCACAACACCGTCCCGCCCTGAAGGGTCGCCGTCTGCCTGGGCAGACAGACGTTTAAGCGATGAATCCCAACAGCGGAGGGAGCTATGGGTTCACAGAAGGCCAAGAGCCCAGCCCTCAGGAGGGGAAGGCGTCACAGAGGTGGTGACCCTTGGGCCACATTTTTTTACTAACAGTTTTGTCTTTTATAAAAATGACACTTAATCTTTGTAATAATTCAAGCATTAAGAGCCCAAAGAAGAACGTAACAAAATACCCCAAGCCTCACAATCCAGAGATAACCAGTACAAACTCTTAAAATGTGATTTGATTGGAATTTTACAAAAGAAAAAGAAACTTCTGTTAAAATGGCAGAACTCATCGTGCAAAGCCCCAGAGTACAAAAGTGACAATGAGCTGGGTCCGCCTGGAACGCAGAGTGCCTACAAGGTGGCAGCCAGCCAAGGTGACCACTGCACCGAGGCAGGGACCGTGTCCGCTTTGCTGCAAAGCCAGGGCCTTATGCGTTGCGGTGGGAGACGACGTCCCGCAGATACGTGCTTAAAGACTAAAGTAACACATGGAAGGTAGGCGGGCCGGGCAACGGGAGAGGAAGAGAGGGGCCACAGAGGCAGTCCACGAAGTATAGAGAAGTGAACCCAACCCATAGTGAGAGGAACATAACAGCAGCCCCCACTGAACGGGCGCTTGCATGCGCCAGGTCCTCAGCAGGCATTCTCCATTGCTAGCGCAATTGCTTCCCACAGCGGCTTTACCTAAGCACTGTTACTATTGTCATTTTACATCTGAGGAAACACCCAGAAAGACTGGAGGCCTGCCCAAGGTCACCCAAGTAGTAATTTGGGATCTGAAGTTGTGCTGCTGTTTTCCCGGGGCCCCTGTCTTCCAAAGAGGATTCAGAAAGATTTCTGCTGGTAGCAACATGGCTGAGTTCGCGTGTGGCCCCTGCCCTCAAGGCGCCCACTTGGGCGCACAGGGTCTGTCTATTTAACGCCAGTGTCAGCACGTTAGAATTGGATGTCACACTCAACCCCTGAACCAGTCAGACAGGTGAAAGGGGCGCGAGAGCAACCGCTTGCAACATGACCCTGCCTCATGGGAAGGAGGGGGTCTTCTCCCACCATGACGAGGAGTTGTTTCAGATGCCTATTTTGTGTTTTAATTTGAGGGTTTGGTTGGGTTTTGCACCAGGGGAGGGAAAGGAGAGCAGGGTGAGGGGCGCAGCCTGGGCCTGGGAGCCTGCTTCCAGGGGGCTGTTTCCCTCAAGTGCAGGGGCGGGAGGGGATCAGAAGACCGGACGGGAGGTCAGTGTGACTCAGGCCGGCTGGTAGATAAGAGAAGCAGGGACTGGAGATGATCACGCAGGAGGAAGTCCTTTGAAAAGGTTTTTGTTAAGTAGCAGTTAGAGCCCTGAGGTTCGCCCGTCCGGTGTGCCACCTTCCAAGTTCCCAGCTCGCCCAGCATCCCTGTTAGAGCCAGTGGCTCAGGACAGGCCTGAGGGCCTCTCACTTCCACCAGTCCTGGCCACCAACCAGTGTGACGGAGTGACGGGTCTCCTTTCCTGTGAGGAATTCTAGTTCTTACTCAGAACTGGTCCATAGGAGAAGTGGGCAGACACCCAGTTTCCAGCTCTAGAGCCAGCTGCCTCTGAGCCATCTCTGCTTCCTGCCAGGTAAGGCTACTTGGAGGGAGGGCAGCAAGGACCTGGAACGGCAGGGCCCCGGGGGTGGCCGGGGCCAAGCTGCAGCCCCTGCCTGGGGGCCCTGTGAGAGCCTAGACCCGCACAGGTCCGGGCCTCACTGCTCAGGGGGGCCGGGGCCTTGGTGTCCACTGAGAAGAGAGGGGAGAGAGGCGTGGGGAGGATGCGGCAGCTGTGTTCCCTGCCACCCCTCTGGGGATGCATTTCCTTGTGGAAAGCACAGTCAAAGCTCTTCCCCACATTCCCAGACAGTCTCAGGGGCCCCTTCTCTTCGGACTCTCCCAGGACGCGAAGAGAGTTTCAGGAGGTTGGAGAGGGGAAGGGAGTTAGAATCAAATTTTGAACAATCTTTGAAGTTTGGCACACTTGGGGTACACGAGGGGGTGTACAAGGAGCAGGACGGGGATGGGGCTTCTCCACAAGCCTTGCTGGCTGCGAGGGAGACGGTCGCAGGCGGGGCCACTGCAGGCGGGCCTTCAGGGACAGACGGCCTCCAGGGCCCTGCCTGCCCGGCCTCGCTCCACTCTGAGGGTCAAACCCAGAGCAGAGGCTCCCGAAGGGGAAGCACAGACCAGCTCTGTCGAAATCACCCAGCGTGTGTTCATGAAAACAGCCTGTCCCCCTCCGCACCTTCCGCCCACAGAGCAGCCACAGGCGCCAGAGACCTGCGTGTCTCTGAAAAGCGCCCTCCTGGGCTGCCAGACCTGCTAAAAAACTATAAACCTGGAGGCTCGTAAAACACTGGACGTCTCAGAAACCCGGGGTGAGCAAGCACGATACCCCCCAGCTCGGCCCACCTTTGCTCACACCTGCCACCCAGGGGCCGGCGCAGACGCGTTTCTTCTCTTGGTGACAGCCAGCAGCGCTTCCTGTGCCCCGGGCGTCACCAGCACGCGGTGGTGCCGCTTCCTGTGACCCACTCTCTGTTTCCATTCTGGCGCAGTGTTTGCTCTTTTCTCTCTGCTTTGGGGCCTGGAGGAAGGTAAGCTTCTCATGGAGCCTCTGGGACCTCTTGGCAGCGCCCCTGGCGCCCCTCCCGCTTCTCCCCCAGCTGCCTCTCCTGGGAGCCCCGCACCCTGTGAGCTCGCCTCCCGCGTGGGCATTGCAGCCACATCCAGGCAGAGCCAACCTGTTCTCTTTGTATTTGGGGTTGACTCAGTCTGACATTTCACGGGTAGACGCGAGGTAGGGAGTTTGCTGGGGAAAGAAAGTTCTAGAGAGACAGATTGGAAGCTTTAGAAAAGAAGAAATAAAAACCAATAGATTTTTTGTGTGTGGGACTTTGGTGAATAAAGATGTAAAAAGAAATTTTGAGAGTAAAAAGCTGTACGTTAAGGAGGGTTTGGAAGACATGAAGGCCAGGAGGATTTCCATCATTCTTATCTACTCAAAAAAGTGGTTATACCGCACGGGATTGTATGTGAAACACAAACCGATTTTGCCTTTTCTCCTGGGAATCAGCGACTTAGCAAGAGCCAGGAAAAGTGGCAGACATGCTGGCCAACCGATTACGATTAAAAGAAGGCTTAGGAGGAGCAGCTGAAGCCGGAGAGGTTCCTGTGACAACGGCTGTCCGCACCTCAGAGTCCACCCCTCTGCAGGGAACTTCCAGCAGCCAGGACAGGTGAGTGGCTCAGGGCGGTGAGCTCCACCCTCCTCTGATTCAGACGGGGCCCTGGTCTACCCTGGGGGCTTCCACCCTAGCAGTGCTGCCACCCCTCACACCCGGGCTCGGGTCCACTGAGACCACCAAACTCTAGGCTCAGAGACGTTTGCTCGGGACTGCTGGGAGGAAAGGAAGAAGTGCTGAGGAGAAGAGGGGGCTGCGCGGGGAGGAGGAGCCCAGGCAACACAGGACTTCCCAGAGCTGGCTGCCCGGCCTGGTGGATTTCTCACCTCCCCGAGGCCCTGATTGCTGTCCTCGGTCTCCCGTCCCGGGTCCCAGCAATCACTCCTCCACACAAGGGCCCACCGAGATGGGAACCAGAGCCCCCTTCTCTCCAGGATGTGTTTTTAGGTCCTAAAAACTTGCCGTGAATGAAAAATGTAATCCTAGATATGATAAAGATGTGTCTTTAGGACATAAAATCTCACGGAACTAATCATGGATGTACATTTTACTGCTAAAACTTTCACTATCATGCTAACAAAAATAAAAAGTCCATCAGCAATTGAAACTAGGAACACGGTAGTATCAATTTCAGTGCTGGCATTGCAGTACAACTCAACCGTAATAAATTTAAAATCACTGTAGTTTGGGGAAAGAAATGTTACTACCATGACAAACACATGTCATTTGCAGGTAGACAGGAGCGTTGATGGAGAATGACTTCATAAAGTTGCCAGAATCTTGGGGCCCCCACCCCCCAAAAAACTATTTCTATATTCATCCATTTTATGAATTCACCCACTCATTCATTTAACAAATTCTCCTCAGGCCCCAATAAGTACCAGGCACTGTTCCAGGCGCCAGGTGAGCAGCGTAGATGAGTCCATGACCTCCTGGAGCTTACGGTCAAGTGGGGGGAGTCACATATAAGCAGGGAAACAAATGACTGTGGAATATAATGTCCATCAGTCGTAAGTGCTCTGAAGAAAAACCAGAGCAGAGTACGGGACTGACGGTAATAGGGTGTGGCCCCGGAGGCCTGTCTGAGGTGGTGCTATTCAGATGCGGGAATGAAACGAGGCCTGAGCTGCACAGACAGCTGCAAAGGAGGGCTCCAGGGCGAGGGAGCAGCAGCTCTGAGCTGGGACTGTGCTCCCCACAGTGAAGGAACCACCAGGAGTCCCGGCAGTCCAAGTCAGAGGGAGAGCGCTAGGAATTGAGGCCGGAACATAAGGTGCTGGAAGTCCTCTCTGGGGAGGGACTGTGGATGTGATCCCAAGTGCGATGAGAAGTCGCGGAGGGTCGCAAACGGAGGAGGGGAGTGATCTGATTTCCTGTTAGAAATCAGCTCCTGTGTGAAGATGGTACTTTGTGGCCAAGAGTGAAAGCACAGAGGCCCGTTAGGGAGGCTACTGCGAAGGTCCCCGTGGAACACACGGTGGCTTGGAGCAGGGAGGTGGCAATGGAGCAGTGAGAGGCGGCTGGGTTTGGGAGAGATGCCCAGAGCTGAGCAGACAGAATCTGCCGGTTGACTAGAAGTGGGTCATGAGAGAAAGAGAGCCGTCAAGGATGGCTCCAAGGTTTTGGACCAAGCTGCTTGACGATGGGAAACCCCAGAGGAGGAGCAGATTTATGGGGGGAGCAGGAGTTCTGTTTTAGACATGTTTGGTTTGAGATATCTATTGGGCAGCCTGGCAGAAATTTCCAGTATAAAGTTGGGTAAACAAACCTGGAACGTCAGGAGGACGAAAACCTTCCCTGGTAGATGACCTGGTTTCTAATATTTGGGGGTGGCAGTTCTGCTCGTGACTCCTTCTGTCAGCTCAACTGGCTGCTCCCTGCTGCAGTAGGCGGGCTGAGCAGGAACGCCAGCCCTGCCAGGGAACGGCAAGTAGCGAGGGGCTTGCTCGGTGCGTGTGCGCCGGTTAAATTCCACTGGCCAGCAGAGCGCTGCTTGGAGACCGGCTCTCAGGCCGGTGCTGTGGGCTCACTCAAGTGCACACAAGCTGGGCTCTGTCACAAGGCCACTCACTAACTGCAAATGGAGTGATCCTCTCCTCCGAGCGAGACAGGAAGCCTAGGAGTGGGACCGGGGGAAGCAGGGCAGACTGACTTGACACGGCAAGTTTGGAGGACAATGCGGTGCGCTGGAGCTGGCACGGTCCTTGGGCCCTAACAGACCTAGATTCGCATCTGTCTTTGCCCTTTCCTACCCACGAAGCCTTTGACATGTTCCTCTACCTTTCTGAATCTCAATCTCAGGTTCCTTTGCCACAAGAGAGACGGGATCGTTGTAAAGATTAAGTAAATTTCATATGCAAACCCCTGGCATCCAGTAAGCATTCAAAAGGGATAGTTCCTTCTCCTGTGTCCAATTTCCCTCCACCCGTGAAGAGATGACCCTCTCTTCCACCACACAGCCCACCCCCTTCAGCTTTCCTTCATGGGCCGCATCGCAAATCCTGGGGCTCTAACTCTGGAGGGGACCATCTTCTCCCCTCACCCCACAACGGCTGGGGCATCGTATTTGTTTCCTCATAGAGATAAAGAGCAAAGCAGCAACCTCTTTTCTGTGTTAGCGGGACTCCTCTCCGTCTTCCTGGTCATCGCGATTTTCTGCATCCTGTGGAGCTGGAGTAAACGGAAGAAGTGTGAGTCCTTTGTCCAAAGTTGGGGAACACAAGCATCAATAACCCCGTCTGGCATTTAAAGCCCAGTTTATTCTCCAGGGAGGAACTATTGCACTTGGGAGTCCTCTGTTTCTATCTAACACGCTGGTCATTGTCTCGCTGGAGATCCTGAGCCGTGGCGCAAAGGCTCTGCGCTGGTTGGAGCTCCATTTTGAGTCACTGTCTTGGTGCCCCTGTGCCCCCGTCTCCTCTCCCTGTTCTGTCCACGAGTCCCCTCTTCTTCAACCCACATGGAATGGGTCAAGTCTGAAAATGTCCTTTTTATGAATCATGACAGGAGTGGGGAATATTTCCAGGGACCACATCATCCCTGCGTCCCCGTGACCCCGCCTCTCTCACTGCCTTGCAGGGCGAGCTCCTTACCTCCGAGTTACTGTCATGCCCTCTCTGACGCGGCCTCGATCCAGACAACGAGCCAAAAATATTTATGACCCCTTGCCCCGCAGGCAAGAAGAGCCTGGTAGGTTTTTCTTTCTCATCTGTGGAGTCCAGACGAAGGAAACTTCTGCCCCCAGATGCAGATCTCACCACCCGGAAGCAGCGTTCCCTAACCTTCCAGACCTGTCTGCCCTTCAGAGCACGTGGAGGAGAAGGGGGTGGATGGAGACACTGCAAGATGTGGCTCCAGCGGGGGCCTAGCGATCTCTGAAGAGAGAGCAGGGGCTTGTCTAGGTTTGGAGTTTGGGTTTTTCTTGATATTGAGGCAGCAGAGGACAGATGGGTGTCTGGAATGGGGAAGATATTCAGACGGAGAACATGGCTGCCAGCATTACAGGCAGGGAGGGTTTGCCCCAGGAGCATCCTTCCCAGCCTCCCAGGCCCCTACGCTTGTTCCTTGGGCGTCATGGAGGCTGAGGAGGGTTCAGAACACACCGTCCCCGCAGCTCTGACCTTCTCACCACAGAACACCAGGCCCCAAACACCAGACACCGCACAAACCCGCTCCATCCACAGTGAGGGCATTGCTGGGCTGAAGCCCTCGGAGAACCGGCTGTTTTCAGAACTGTTTCCGTCCTTTCAGGGAGACAACAGTCAAGGAGTATGCGTATCTTCAGCACCGAGAGCCTCCTCTCCAGAAATTCCGACAGCCCTCCCTCTGAGCACGTGGTAAGAGTCAAGGGAAAGGATACGCCCCTTGGGAGAAATGACACGTCTCTGGCAGGAGAACCAAGAGGAAAGAGGTCCAGGTCTTGGATCTTGTTTCGCTGCAAACAGCATGTCCTTTGGCAGTGGCCCTGCAGCCCTAATAATAAATTGGAAGGACCAGCCTCCGGGTCTCCCCACTGCCCAGTGAGAAACATTGGGAAAGATGGAGCAGGAGCTGGAGATTTTAAGAAAGGCAGCAGGCACACTATTCAAGGGCATGACGTTAAAACGCAAAGGGATTGTTTTAACAAAGACACTATAACGTGCTTATGCAAATGAGCACTGTATCCTTCAGAGAAACCACCTCGGAGGGCACACAAATATTCCTACATTCCAGCTGGGACTCAAAACACCCTTAAAACCCTGCTTTGGAATTCCTTCTGGGGCCTATGTCAAATTGTTTCAATTCTCCTCAAAATAGCAGACATATTCCTAAGTCATGCAGCACTGTAGCTAGTGGGGAAAGTGACCGATCACACGGGGGACACCCTTAGAGGTTACGACTAATAACAATCACCCACGTCTCTCACGATCTGGCTCTGAAGGCAGCTTCCGAGGAGGAGTCCCACAGCCGTCTGAGGCAGAGGCATCGGGGCATTAGAGGGACTCCTTTGAAGACCAGGGTGCTCATTCCCATAGATAAGTCCTGTCTTGCGTGTTAGAGAATGAATTCCTTCAGTTGGGGACGTCCTTGGGCGAGTGCGGCCACACTGCTGCTGCTGGTTCGCCTGGCCCCCAGCCTCTCGGTGCCCAGAGGGTTAGGTTCAATTACCACGCAGCCATCTCCAGGTCACCACCTCCAGGTCACCACCTCTGCTTCCTCCCCCTTCCGCATGTCCCATCCTTGGGCTCTGCTCCTGCCTCTAAGACTTCCTGGGGCAGCAAGTCTGAGTAGCTGGTAACGGGCAGGGAAGAGGAAACTCCGTGGCCGAAGCTGGCTCCAGGACTCGGGTGGGCCCCGAGGGGATTTTGCATCAAGCGCTCCAGTCCCAAACTGACTTAAGCCACACACATTTTGGCTTGGAGCCTGTAGTGTTTGAAGAACATTTTGAACCAGTTACCAAGATTTAAATATCTAAAAAATTTCACATTAAAGTCTGGATGTCCAGCTTTCTTGAAAATTCAGAAATTCTGGAAACATCAGACCAGCATCCCTAACTGGCCATAGTCGGCTGACTCTGTGTGTCAGCTGCCCTTTTACTAATAACATTGGGCATTTTTTTTAGTGTTTTCTATGTGCCAGGAGTTATCTAAACACTTTACACGCAGTAATCCATTCACTCCTCACCAAAAAACTCATGATGTAGATATTAACATTATGCCCATTTTATGTTAGTGAACTACAGCCCAAAGAGATTAGGGAACTTGCCCCAGCTCAGCTCTGGGTGGTGAGGCTGGGTTTGCACCCTCAGTCGCAGCCCAGTCTCCACTGTGGGCCGCCGTGCTAAGTCACCTCTGCAACGTGCTCTGAGGCCCAGGCTCCCTCCAGTTTATAATACTTGAATCCTCACATTGTAGCCAAAAACCACTTGCAATTTATCATCACATTTATACTGTTGCTTTCCTTCAACTCAGCCCACTTCACTCTTACCCACCTAGCATCTAAAGGCTCGCAGTTTGAGACCCCAGATTTAGAGCTCTGCTCCTAGGTGGAGAGCTGAGTGAAGGAACTGTCAGATGGCAGCACTGGGCAGGGAAGAAGAAGGGTCTCTCCATATTTCTGCTTCCATCCTGTCACTGACTTTCTCTTCTTGCTCACAGCCCTCCCAAGCAGGCAATACCTTGAGGGTGCACAGAGCCCATACTTATGCCCTGGGGTATGCGGTGAGTATCTATGACAATGCCATGAGACCCCACATAGGTGGCGACCTCACTCCCTCGGCACACTACATCAATGTCGGAGCGTCCAGAGATTGCCCGAGCATTTCTTCAGAGGATTCGAGAGATTATGTCAACGTCCCCACAGCAAAAGAGACTGCTGAGACTCCAGCTTCTACCCACAGCCCTCCTGGGCACCTCTTGGACCCCCCACGTGCCCAGGAGCTGGAGTTTACTGAGGAAAGAGATGAGGGCTGTGGGAACGCCAGTGACTGCACCGGTTTTTGGTCTCCAGGAACCGAGACCAGTGAACTACTCAGCGACGGGGAAACTTCTTCTCAGTCCTCAAATGACTACGTCAACATGACAGGGTTGGATCTCGGGGCCATCCAGGGGAAGCGGCCCTGGGTGGCTTTTCAGTGCTGCAGAGATTATGAAAATGTCCCGCCAGCAGATCCCAATGGAAACCAGAAGCAGGTAGAGGAAGAAGTGACGTCCTCAACCACAGACCGTGTAGAAGGCAGGCCAGAAGGTCCAGGGACCCACATCCAACATGTCATGCAGCCAAGGAGGTTATTGGCTTTAGAGGGTTACGTAGCCTGTCAGTCACCTGCACAGAGGGAGATCAGTCAGATCCAATGTGGAGAAGAGATGTCAAATGAGGACGCTAAAGACTACGAGAATGTGCCGGCTGCCAAGTTAGGAGGCGGGAACTCCGAACAGGGGCCTGACACACGGCTCCTTCCCGATGAATTAAGACCCAGCCGCCCAGCTGGAAAGCCGCGCGGAGTGGTCTATCCTGCTAGATCTATAGCCACTCCAGGGTCTAGTGAAGACCCTTGATCGTCCTTGTATTTCAGTGGATTTGTTTGGTTAGGCTAAAAAGAGGCTGAGATAAGTAGAGAGCTAAGAGGCTCACAAAAGCAGGGGTTGGGAAAGGCAGAAAGGAATTCTTCTCAAGCAGGGCGCTCTGATCTCTCTTACCAACCTAAGAATGTTTGCTGAAGCTGCCTGCTAGGACTGTTAGGAGATTAAAACTTGGAGAGTACTTTAGTGCACGGTGGAAGCATGAGCTAGTCTAAAATCATCACCTTCACTCACACCAGCAGGCTGCGGAGAAGAATGCAGATTGTTTTGTAATCCGTGCAGAGGCCCAAAGGAAGAAGAAGTGGGGATAAGGATGGAGAGACAGTTTCCACTTTAAAAAGAGTGTGGACAACCAAATCCTGGAGAAGACGTGGAACAGCAGACTCTCGTTCATTGCTGAGGGGATTGCAAAGCAAAACATCCACTTTGGAAAACTGTTGGGCAGTTTCTTATAAACACACACTTATTGTGCAACACAGCCATTCCACTACTGGGTATTTACCCAAGTGAATGGAAAACTTGTGTTCACACGAAAACCCTTACATGACTGTTTATAGAAGCTCTGTTCATAATTGCCGAACCCCAGAAATAACCCAGATATCCTTCACAGGTGAATGGATAAATAGACTGGTGGATTCATACGATGAGTTTATCCATATTCAACAGTAAAAAGGAATGAAGGTTTGGTTTATGCAACAACATGGACAAATCTTAAAGGCATTTTGTTAAGTGAAAGAAGCTAGACCTAGAAGTCTACCTATTGTATGACTCCATTTATATGACATTGTGGAACTGAAACTACAGGGATGGAAAACAGATCAGTGGTTGGCAGGTTTGGGGAAAAGGGAGAGCTTTACAACGAAGGAGCTGCACACAGAAATTTTTAGGATAATGGAGCTGTTCTGATTGGAACTGTGGGGGTGGATACATGACTCTGTGCATTTGTCAAAACACAAAAAACTGTATAACACAGAGTGACTTTAATTGTATGCAAATTTTGAAAAATTAACCAGGCTATCAGGGGAACCCATGGTGGAATGCAGATTGTGACAGATGAATCTAACTGTATTACAAATATATGACATAATCCCACGGAAGGGGATGGGGGGAAAGGAGCTGGCCTAATTAACTTTGGAAAATAATGTTTTTACTTGAAACTAAGATAAAGACACAAAGAATGGAACACAAACTCTGCACTCTAGTTGGTAAATTTGTATCACGCAGGAGTATAGGTTAGCAATTCTGAAACTACTGTAAATGTATACTAGGGTTGAACAAAGAAGTAAATATGTCAGATAAAGAGAAGCAAGTTTCTTACTGTCAGAGAAAGAAGTGACAAGCAAGAGGGAAGGCTGCAGTGAACTCTGGTGCTTGATTGGAGTTGGAGGTACAGTTTGAACTTGTGTTTATTTATATATATACACACAAATAGATACAGAAATAAATATAGATACGTGTGTTTCCATAGGCTAGTGTACATGTACTTCCCAGCTCTGTCCACTAGAGGCTCTAGAAGTCCTGATACCCCAGTTGCAATGAACACACTTAGCGCTCAGATCTTGGTTTCTAAATATCATTATCCAAGAAAAGGAATCAGAGCTCCTTGGAGAAATAGCTAGTTCCAGAGCTGGGGCAGGAAAAATATAGGATGAATTTGACCATCTTATAGAAAAGGAAGGAAAAGAAAGAAAAAGTAGGGAGGAGAAATGAAAAGATGAGAGCATGTCAAAGGGAGCCCACTAAAAGAGCTCCCAAAGGTAAAGCTAGAAGAATTTGAGCAACAAAAATAAATAAATATAATCTAGATTTATAACTCAAAGAACAAAATAAATATCCGTGAGTCCGTACCAATGGTCAAATAAGTAAATAAAATGGAGGAAAGGGATAAATCTCCTTACAGATGAATTCCAAATAATACATGTAGAAGAAATAAGAGGAAAAGAAAATCACCATTAAGACACCATAGAATGATTGCTTTGGGCAGGTCCTGGCGATCGTTATCACGCTGGTGGGTGACGTGTCAAGGAGAAAGGCGATAGTTCCATAGCCTCAAAGAATCTGCTCCCAAATAGTTACTCATTACTGTGATGGTTTTAACACATGTCCACAAATTATCTGATACTTCCCCTGGAACGAACTTCCTCTTTCCTTCAGTGTGGGCTGAATTTAGTGACTTTCTTCTAATGAATAGAATATGGAAAGGGGAAAATAGTAAATTTACAATGAAGAATCTTGGCAGACACCACCTTGACGATGTGGTCAAGGTTAACTGACCAATAATAAGTCACATTGCTATATGATCAAGGGGAAGAGTTCTTCACGTCTGTGATATTCTTCCCCAAAATCCACAACCCCAGTCCTATCATGAGAAAACTTCAGCAAACCCAAATTTTCTGACATTCTACGAATACCTGACCAGAACTCTTAAAAGTATTAAGGTCATGAAAAACAAGGAAGGCCTGAGAAACTGTCACGGGTTGGAGGACATTGTGGAGACATGATGACTAAATATAACATGGTACCTTGAATTGGATCCTGGGACAGAAAAAGGAAAACCTGGTAAAATTCAAAAAAAGTCCATATTTAATGAATAATGTTATATCAGTTAATTTGTTAGTTTTGATAAATGTACCCTGGTTGTGTAAGATGTTAACATCAGGGGAAGCTGAATGAAGAGTGTACAGGAACTCTCTGTTCTCTCTTTGCAACTCTTCTATAAATTACTTCAAAATACAAAATAGTTGTAAAGTGTGGACAAAGCTGGGATGGAAGACAGGGAGGCTCAGCCCACTCCTATGCCGTGCCTTTGTTCCTTCTCCTGCACAGTGGACGTACATAAAGCACATCCTACTGCAATTGTTCTGGTGTTTGTTTGTATTCTGCACTGTTTTGTTAATATGTTAACAGTCTCCCATCAATCTGCATCACTTTGCCAGCTGGATATGTATTTAAGTCCCTTGTCTTTACCCTGGCTCTTAGCACAAGGCCCAAGATAAAGCAGGTTTTGATGATTGATGCTCCATGATGTGGTATCAGTGCGGTACTTACACTATACAATGTTGAGTGAGGTTTTTTCTGTTGTTCAGGAGTCAAGGCTAAGGCCAAGAGCTGAGTAAAAAGGTGCAAAACACCCCAAATTCTGAGCTCAGAGTGCCCCTCGCTGCCAGGTGTCAGCCAGCCCCCTTTAGGGCTTGCTGAAAGCGAGAAGGCTAGTCTGCCATGTACTGCTCCCCACTGCATGGTGTCCCGGCCCGTGGGAGAGGGCTGGGCAGGGGGCGAGGCCAGCCTTTGAGGAGCATTCTGCTCAGGAAGAGACGTTCTTTCCTCCTTCACTGCCCGCAACCCTGAGCGGGGAACCGTCTCCTTCCTGCAGAGTGCTGATGCCCCCGGAAAAGGAGAAAGAAGAGTGTGTTGCCAGAACCTAGAGGGAGAGGGCTGGGAAGCAGCTGGCCACCCACTGCCAGGCGAGTGTCAGCGGGGGAAGGTGACTGGGCCTGGCCATCCTGTTGGCACCACCTCAGCAGGGTGCCAAGGCAAGAGGCCTCCAGCACAAATCTGTGAGGTACGGACCATCTGAGGTGGCCTCAAAAGACGTGGGTGTGTGCTTTGGACTGAACATTTGTGCTCCCCCAGAAATTCATCTGTTGAAACCTAATCCTCAATGTGCTGTTTCAGGAGGTGGGGCCTTAGGGAAGTGATTAGGTCCTGAGGGTGGAGCCCTCATGAGTGGGATTAGTGTTGACAAATAAAAATGGCAAGCAATAGGCCATATTGGAGTATATGAGGAAGCCATTTGGTATAAACCTAATTCGGCCTGACTTTGTTTTTTTTTTTCCAAAAGGGCCTGACATGGCCTTTGAGCACGCATTGTATATCTGCTTTAAAACTATGTCCTATGGCAAGAACAAATGGCCTTAAGATAAAGGTGCAACTTCCCCCCACATTGGCATTTCCTTAGGGATAAGCATCTTTCCTTAGGCTAGGAACTGATTGCTGTGCTCACCTTTGAACACCCAGCTCACCTGTGACCACCCAGCTCCAGACAATAGAACTGCCACCCTGCTGTGTTCACCGAGACAGCAGACCTACCTGCTGTTTCCATCAATCGCTGTCCGACAGAGCAGTCTCACGACTATTGTAAAAGGGACATTTCAATCCTATGTGAAACATCCTCTCTGGGGGTATATAACCACTCTGTGCACCCCACTTCTTTGGTGCACTTTCTTCCTTCAGGAAGAAAGGCCCCGGGCCATGGGTCATGGTCCTCAGATTTTAGCTCAGAATAAACTCTCCCAACTTTTCATTTATAGATTGGTTATGGATTATTTTCGTCGACAGTGTCCTTATAAAAGAGGTCCCAGAGAGCGGTCCCTTGCCCCTTCCCCACTGCGAGGACACAGACAAGAGATGGCTGTCCATGAACCAGGAAGCAGCTCGCACCAAGCACTGACTCTGTGAGAGCCTTGATCTTAGACTTCCCAGCCTCCAGAACTGTGAGAAATGAATGTTTGCTGTTTAGTTAACCCAGTCTAGGGGATTTCTGTTGTAGCAGCCTGAGCTGACTAAGACAGCGGGAGACAGGCTGAGTGTGACAGGAGCTGGCTCTCCCGCAGCTGGTGACTGTATTTTGGGTAGATTTCTTCAGGGCTCCCAGATTCACCCTACAAATGACCAGCATTTAAATTCCTGCCACTCAGAGGGCGCGTGTCAGTCTGATATTGACGGCCAGTCAGTGTTAGCCAGGGAAGCAACAGCAAGCACAGAGAGGATGGCGACTGTAGGGGAGGGGGACATCTCCTCCACCCGCTCTGGGTTCGTCTGGCCGGAGAACGAATTAAATTCACATGAGACAGAATAGCAGGAGAAAATTAAACAAAGCTTTATAACATGTATACATGGGAGAGGCTCAGGCAAGCTGAGCAACTCACCAAGATGGCTGAAGCCCCCACCTTAAATATCATCTTCAACTAACGACAAAGGAGGGTGTTGGGGGTGGAGGGAGTCAGCTACAGGAGGTTACCAGAAACAGGAATAAGATTATTATGCAGATTTAAGTCCTTGCCTTTGGTATTGATTAAGAGTTTCTAGAGATAAAGTCATCCCCCTCTTCTTCCTGGTACAGAGAGGGAGGGACCTTTACAGATGGAGATTTCCTTTACAATGTAAGTGTCTCTTAACAAAAGGCAAGCAAGTTCCACTCCTCAGAGCCTCCTTCCCTGTGTCAGCCCCAAATAATCCTCATGCCAAAGAGACATATCTTGGCGTGGCCAACACCAGTCCCTGACGCAACCTCACCCAGTCAAGTAAGGAGAGGTTTGTATCAGGCATGAGAATGAAGATTCAGACAGAACTGAATCTTAGAGACTGGCCTGAGACAACTCTCATAACTAAGAGATAGTTATGAGATGAAAAATTATGGGGTCAAAACAGGAAGTTGTTACTACCCAGTAAGAAAGGGAGGGTCAACCTCCCACAGTTGGGGGACAGGTCCAAGAGAAAAGAAAGCCCCAGTGAGCTGGACACTTCAATAAGCCATTTATACTTATACACATTCTCCCAAATTGAGAATAGTTAATAAATTGTAGATTGTCTCATATTAGGTAGGGAACCTTTCTGTTTATTTCTTATTCTGAGAATTTTTACAGATGGATAGATGAAAGACTTTTTATTAAATTATAATTCTTTCCCTTTATAGTATTATTTTCTCACATTAGTTGCCAGGAAACTTTGAGTTAAATCTGACAAATAAAAATGGCAAGCAACAGGATATATTGGAGAATATGAGGAAGGTGTTTGGTATAAACCTGATTTGGCCTGACCTTGTCTTTCCAAAAGGGCCTGACCATGGCTGTTGAGCATGCATTGTATATCTGCTTTAGATATTCCCTATGGCAAGAACAAAGGCCCTTGAGATAAAGGTGCAACTTCCCTCCCCCTCCCAACGTTGGCATCTCCTTAAGGATTAAGCATCTTTCCTTAGGCTAGAAACTGATTGCTGCGCTCACTTGTGACCGCCCAGCTCGAGACAATAGACTTGCCTCCTGCTACGCCCTCTGAGATAGCAGACCCACTACCTGCTGTGTCCATCAAGCACTGTGCTGACAAATCGAATGCCCAATTGCAGTAATTATCTCATCTCATATGCCTGATAATGCTAAATATTTTCAAGATCAGGATGAGAAAGTAGAT